CTCTCTCTCTCTCTCTCTCTCTCTCTCTCTCTCTCTCTCTCTCTCTCTCTCTCTCTCTCTCTCTTACATTCACCCCGGCGCGCAACGTCGACGCGGCTGCTGATTCAATTCCCGCTGAAGAAGCGACATTCCTCGAACGGCACGCGCGCGACAATTTACCGTTAATCTCATAACGCCGTCAAACGCCACGCTGCAAAGATTTCCGTGCGAGATTCAACCTGGAATGTACCCGACGACAGAGATAGGAAAGTTAATTTTAGATGTCATGGGGAGGAATGGATTTATCCTTCTTGCTCGCTTGCCCGCGGGAGAGCAATAACGTGCGAAGTACAAATTCGGTAAAACAGTCACGTTGCGGTAATGAGAGAGTACCTGGGAAAGCGCAGATCGAAAGGTCACATCGCTCCTTTATCCTACCAATGGTAATCGAGCCTTTGCACAAGCCTCTCCGCTGCGTTGATCCCGGCCGCATCCACTCGCGAATTAAAAGCCCATGAATATGGTAAGGATGCAAATTTGGCCTGGTGTTTACTCGGGATCAGTGTTACACGGCAATCTGCATACTCGAGTGTCGGAACACTCGGTGACGCGCGCGCAAGACGAGGGGTTGCTTGTGCGAATCCGCACGAGAGATCGTACACGCGAGACGAGCGTGTCGGTTAATCACAACCCGCAGCATTCCTTCCCGAGGATACGCTCCGACAGGAATTTAATCCGAAACTCTCGTTAGCGGCAAGTTCAGCAGCGCTGCCCGGGTTACCGAGAAAATATGCCAAGGGATTCCTTCTGCTTACGCAGAAGTCCCGATCGGAAGCAGCAACGCGACGACCTCGTGGTAAGCATTATCGGCCGCTAAAAAGAATCCCCCTATATCTCAGCCCGCGCTTCCGTCGATTAATCCGTTAGCCACTCGCGACCAACCTGTGCGTACCGTTCAATTATCGAGGGGTCTTCCCTCCCTCCCTTGCTCGAGCGCTAACTAAGTTGTTACCCCGATAATTCGTACGTCGTAGTATCGGCCATAACGTCGAGCTCTTGCCGCATTAATCCGTGACCCGCCATGGGAATTTTCGCTTAACTAAATTATCCCGAAACTTATCGCCGAGGCCGTAATCAGTAATCAATCAATGTATAGAGTCGCAGTATTTCGTTAATATTGAGTGTCGCTGCTGAAACCAGCGTCTCCTACGCTTTGATCACACCCAGATAATTACTTTTCTTAGACGTAGACTGATGTTGAGGAGGTTATGAGGCAAAGTTTGTTAGAAATTCACTGAAACTTGCACTACACGTTTCTTTTTATTTTTTATTTTTATTATCTTATTTTTTTTAATTAAAATGTCATCTAATTGTCTATGCAATTGACTAAAAAAAGATTGACTATTCGAAATATTTGAAATTAAAGTTGACACTTTTTATATATGTTTTAAAGTCCCCTTAAAGTGTCACTAGAAATATAACACTGACAAGTAAAACTAACCAAAAGTTACACTCCGATTTCTTTCTAATTTGGCACAAATGTAGAAGTACAAAAAATATTTAGGTCATATTTTTCTACTTTGGTCCACTTTTAGTTTCAGCAGTTTATTTGATATAGGCGTTTTTGGTTTGCTGATTATGAATATAAAGTCAAATGTGTCAAATTATTTGTATAAATAATAAAATGTTTAAACAAAACATATAAAAAGTTGAAAAAAATTATTTATACGAATAATTTCTCAGTTTGGCTGAGATTCAAAGCATTTTTTATTAATTTAGCACAGATTTGAAATATTTCGATTGGAATCTCGACTAAAGAAACTTAGAATGGTTCGTATCTCAGCTATGCCGATTTTGTTAAAATTATTTAACTATATTTTGTATTCAATTTTATTTCTTATGCATTTTTGTTGTACTTGTTAATGATAGGAGTGAGAACATTAAAGAGCTATAAGCTGCCCATAAAACTCAAAGTGAGCCAAAATGAAAAAATATGACCTAAATATTTGTTGTACTTCTACATTTGTGCCAAATTAGAAAGAAATCGGAGTGTATCTTTTGGATAGCAGTACTTGTGAATCTTACAACCTTCTTAATTAGAACATCCAACGGGAAAGCAGTGTAAAAATCGATAGAAATGAGATATTGGAAATCTTCGGATATACTCTTCATAAACTCTTGAAAAAACATGCGAGTACGTTAATTCGGGATCAAGAAAGTTTACATGAAATATTTCACGGACCCTTTTGTTCCTCGGAATAAAGAGGTGTTATTTATGCATTTCACATAACGCGCAGCAGTTGTTAGTGTGTGGAATCTGGGTTGGTTGTCACACCTTTTACATACTGACTACAAAGAAGAAGGTATGCGATATTTTTTCTTACTATATACGTTTTCATATAGGTATAATTAAAAAAAAAAAGTAAAATTTTATTCTTATATATATTTATATATTTAAAAAGTTATAAGCGAATATTAAGTTATAAGCAAAGTCGTGCGACCCATACCTATTGATTGTCACATGTCTTTCATGTAAAGGAAACATGACAAATTATTTCTGTTCTAAAGTTTTAAGAGATTTTTTTAATGTTACTGATATCTTACAATCAAGTACACTAAACATGCGCACTGTGATCTATCCTGCGCATGTGCCAGAACCAGTCATATTGTTTTAGGTTGCTTAGATAGTATAATACTAGTGTTTAGAGTACATTGAATTGAGATCATATCATTTATCAGATTTATCAGAATAATAATTCTGATAAATTTTGTAAAAATAACTTTGAGCTCCTGTCTATCTTTCTAGAGAACCTTACATAGACTCACTGTTATAATATGTATAACATAATACATCATTGCGTATCCTTCCATGCTCTTGCGTAATTCACATCATAGCTAACGTGACGAACTCGCAACGTGTGACAACTAATCCCTTTTGATTTACATCAACTAATTATCTGTAGTAATTTGAAATAAAAAAGATTATATTTATAACTTATGTCACAGTAAATGTTAACTTTAAATGCAGGAAAGCTACATAACATTTCTTACAACTAAAGAGAGATTGCGATCAGAAATTTCAAAACTGACGGATCAATAAAAATAGAAACAAGCGTTTGCAAATATCACAAGCGATGTTTCTGTTAAAAGCCACTTCGTACATTCAACTAACGTGATACAAGCCACCTATACTACAGAGAAGAATGTCGCTTCATTTATTACTTGAGATATAAGCTTTGTGACTTCTAAACCCAGTTTGCCCTTATACGACTCAACTGGAATTACACTTTCGCGTTATTTCGCCTGACGTCGACTCGTGGTAGGATCTTACCTGTGTAAGGTCGACAGTAGTTGCGATTTGCTTTGCTGTAAATCGTTGGCAGGGACGACTCCGCTCCCGGCTCCACGTACGCTTTACTCTTACTGTCCCTGGGATCGCTATATTGTTCCACAACCTCGACTTCCGCCTGTAAACAGAACAGCAGATCGTTTCCTTCCGTTTTATCGTCTGAAAGACGCTTCGCGCGACACGCACATGTGTTCGTGTCTGAAATCGCGATCGATTCGAGCGTTCCCATTAAGGGCCATTATACGTAATTCCCATTCTCCGTGTATCGTGCGTAATATTGTAGGAACAACGCGCACGCTGGTATAGTACTATTATTAGCCTGAGCTGCTATAACAATACTAATTCGGCAGCATGCTGCCTCGACTGTTCTCGCACAGGAACGTTTGACTTTGTTCCTGCGGGGAATGCCTTCGGGAAGGGTTATCTCGTCGAAACTAGCTTCACTCAAATGAGTACGAGGATCGTTAACCCGGTGTCGTTTCCTGGTCCTGAATGCAACCAATTGCGGTAATACCTCGGCCGGGGTCTCGAAGGGCGCACGCCTCTCCAGCCGTGCCCTAAATGATGATCGTTATTTCGAGAGAAAACAACCACGACAGCAATTCGTTCTCGCTGCCGGACCGTGTATCCGGTGGATTAAACGTGGCGCTCAAATAATCAGCCAGATGACGGCAAACATTAATATCCCGTACGTGGCCAAGCCCTCGAAACGTAGTACTTCTAACGTGCCGCGAATTGCGCGATACATTCGTGCCGACGCTCGCAATCTGAGGGAAAAAGAGTGGGAAAAGGTAAATTCTCTCCCCTTGACTCTAAATTCAATCGACCATCGTCGCGAGCGAGGAGAAAGGGGTTTCCGTCGTATTTCCTGCGGAAGGAGCTCAGTCCCGGTTCGCGATTACGCGACCGGCGCTTCGACGATATTAACGATAGCAATGATAATAAAAGTAATAACGACATCCCGGCGGCGGTAAACGGAGGAATGCAGATCTGCGAGTAAGAGAAGAGGGCCGATCGATGAGAATGGCTTCTCCCGCTCTCACTCTCTCTCTCTCTCTCTCTCTCTCTCTCTCTCTCTCTCTCGTCTCGTTCGCAGTTATATCGAGGATACGGTGACAGAGAAAAGTACAAATGGAGAGGGTGTAGCACGAGGAAGGCGCCAGCGCGCGAGACGGGCAGACATCCCTGCGATACGCAACGGACGAGAAGGCGACAGCGGGGAAGAAGACAAGTAGCCTTAAATTGAAAGAGCCCAAAATTGGAATTCTCCTGCAAAAGTTGGGCGGCCCTGTGTGCCTCCAGGGGCTGTTCCGACGACGAAGTCGATTGCTTCCAACCACCTTACCTCAACATCTCGCGCCCTCCGCTCGGCCACCTCGCGGTCCCTCTTTCGTTGACGAACAGATAAATTCGTGGATGTTTATACGGAAATTACAGAGGCGGGAAGAGGGGAGCGACTCGCAGACACGCAGAGGCAGCCGCTCGATCGACTGTCACAAATCTGATAAGTGTGTGGGCTGTGATTCGACTTTCTGCGAGTGCAACGGATTCGCATGTCGCGATGGTTGCGGAAACGATTACGCGGAATCGTCGGTGTGAAATGCCGGCGAGGAGCCGAATTTGATGGATTTGATCCGACGAGTGAAAACGCCCGGATTTAACAACGCGTCTCATTGAACGGATAAGTAAATAGATTGATTCGTATCAATATTGAGGGCAACGACAAATAATAAATGCAGAATAGTCCTGAATCGGCGGGATTTTCCTCTGTGCGCGAATTGTTTGATCCCCCTCTATGTATATATTCAATTAAACGAACAGTCGCGAATAAATGTAACGTTCAGTGAAATTTTCGCGAAAAATCCAACCCCAGAGTGACGAAAAAATACGATAACAGAGAGGAAGAATCCCGCGAAGGGGATTCGTGGCGTCATGTGTGCACGCGAAAAAGTATTATATCAAACACAATGCCGTCGTATGCAAATGGCGCTGATGGCGAATCACAACGCGTTCGTGCTACGTCGTTAATGCCGTTCGATTTATCGCGGGATTTAATCCGATTACTTGGTCACCGCGTTATAATTGAGCATAATTATCAGACAGCCTAATCGCCCTACTCTACAGTATTTACGGATCTTGGTGGCGCAACGATCAGTCTTTGTGGCTTTATCATACTCCATTAATGATCGTTTGGGTAAAACACATCGGGATTACGCGCAATGCGCGGGATTTTATTTTGTGCGCTACCCTTCCATGTAGAGAATACCGCTGTGCAAAAGTGAGAAGTACCCTTTAAGTTTTTTGTAGTGAAACTTCACTCAAAGGATATAGTGACCACCTTGTCACTGCACTTGGATCCAAACGATTTTTCACTCATATAGAATGAATTCTCCCCTCTGAATCGTCAAGTGATCATTCTCACTCGAATCAAAGACTCTAAGAACTTTAGGAAGTGAAGCTCATCATACTCGAAGAACGGAGTGCTGAAATGTCTCTTCGAGACATAAATATTAATGTTCATCACGTCCTTGCAAAATGTCGAGCCGTATTAATGGCAATACAGCTCATAACATAAATAACGCCGTTACATAGAACGGCACTCTGGTCTCCAGAGAAAACGTCACGTCGCCGACGTCGATCGCTCTTAATTTTGGGCGGAACGAGTCGGTATTTCCCACTGCCGTATCCACCATAATATAATGCACCATTAATAGTATGCAGATAATGGCGTTAAACGAGAGAAGACGCAATAAGAGAGAGAGAGAGAGAGAGAGAAAGGGAGGAGGGCGCGAGAAAAGCGAACAATGCAGATAAGACGCACGTGAAAGTACATTTAACAGCGAGGAGTATCAATCACTTTCACTTCCAGACGAGGCATAAAAGACTCGACGTCAACTTCTCTCTCGGAGCCAATTTCTTTTTTACGGAATTCTAAGCGTCACGATCAGACTTCCCTCTCCGAAGAGTGTCGGGAATTAATTACTCCCACTTTTCGACGTAATTTTGCTCGCCGTGAGTTAATCGCTACTCCGGTGAATACGGCCCGGTACAAATGGCGACGACTTCCCTCTGGCATTCCGCCGATGCCTCGCGTTACTCCGCCACCGGCACCGAGCGCGAATGAATCGCGCTTTTCGTCGTCTTCGCGCAGAGAATCGCATGATCGAAGTTCTGATCGATGAGGGAAGTATCAGATCGATGAGGGAAAATACCGGAGATCCGCAATTGCACACAGACAAACTCCCGGAAGGCGGCCAGAGTTTCGCGCACTAAAGCCCTTTGTTACAGTGATAAATGCGAGCGACACCGGTGGGCGATCTCACGCATAAAATAAAGCGCTAAAGTATTAAGTAAGGCTTACGAAAGCGGGACTCATAACGATTCACCCTCTCGAGTCAAGTGGCACCCGCTTTCTGTCTTTGTCACACTCCTCCTTCGCCGCGTCGCTACACTTGGCGCACTCTTCGCGGGGGTGACAACGAGGCGAAAGAAACTTTTGTCCGGGTACACTCAGGTGTCGTCCCCTCGCTCTCGCGACGTTTCTTCCTCTTTATTTATTTCTTTCTTTCTTTCACGAGTACTCTCCTGACAATCGCGCGGCGCGACTTTCGCGTTTCCGTCCGTTTGTAATCAAGCGCCAAGATGATAATTATGATAACGAGCACTAACGCGCCAACAAACGCGACAGTAAATCAAAGAAAACTATATAGAATAAAAATATACAAAACAAATAAATAATAAATATTTGCTTTCATGAAAAACTTGAGATTTTAAGAAAATATATATTTTCTTATTTGAAAGGTACTTCATAGTAATATTTTATAAATATAAATTTTAAGTAAATATGTTATTAGTGCTCATCGAATAAGTATCTACTATTTCTTAGATATTTTTTCTCACAGTGCACTAATGGGATTAACGCGCTACAATTGCTGAATATATCCGCTCTCATCAGATATAACACGCGCTACTATTACGCACTACTGTTACGACTCCTTCATAACAGTAGCGCATCTCGAGCAGGTTTTTCAGATAACCGCGGAACGCACCGAGGCGATGTTATATCTCTACTGGCAAAGCGTTTATGCGCAGCGCTTGAGGCAACCCCGGACTCCAGAAACTGAGTGCCGGAGCAATTATAAGCAACGCCGGAAGTCACCGGTCTCTCCGCTCTACCAACGACGCTCTCCGTCGTTGTTGCGCTCGCGTCCGTTGTTATTACCTCTCACGCTACCCTTCGACACCCTTCGCACTCCGCCAACCCCCTTTCCCCAACGCCCTTCGCGCGCCCGGGGGGTATTTTGTCACCACTGTAATTATATTTCTCCCTTCGAATGATTCCCCGACCAGTTTCGCGTTGCGAAAATATCAATACTATCGTTAGCCGGTCAAAGGACTCGGCTCAGCCACAGGAAGTGATGTCATGCGCGCAGCGTGTGTCGAGTGTGCATAAGGGCGCATTCACACCTTCGCAGAAAAGCAGAAGCCAAAGATCTTGAGCTGGTATTAAAACAGAAACTATTAACTACCACCTAATCACCAGCACGAGTTCCGATTGGCTTCTGCTTTCTGCCCTTCTGCTTTCTGCTCTTCTGCTTTCTGCTTTTCTGCTAAGATGTGAATTCACCCTAAAACGATCGATGAACATATTGTACATGTAACGTGTTCGTTTTGAAATTAATTCGATTAATTGCAAGGATAGACTGTCGTAATTATTACGACGTGAGACAATCAATATAGTAAAGACTTCATAATTTTCTTAATTGCATCTATGAAGCAAATGTACTGTATTGAATTAATCATTAAATTTATACCGTGCATTAATGTAAGCTGTTAGATGCAGCAAGGAACTTACTAAAAATAACACTCACAATAAGAGAATTTTACAGTAAAAATTATTATAAAATTTTGTAATCAAAGAAAAAATCAATATTCTACATTTATGTGATAAAATAATAAAAAATGAAAGTATCATATGAGCTGCTTACATGAGAGATGCAACTTTTGCAAATCTACTAGTAGAGTTACTGTCTGATTTATGTACACTTGTCTATTTGAATAATATCTCTTAGCGCAATACAGACATACTTTAATTTGACGTTTCAGAAATATTAATTATAAACATTTTGTGTTAATATTGATACTTTAACTGAATCTCTTTTTTAACTGCAATGTAACTGTTTATATGAATATTATACTTTGCATAAATACATTATTCGAAGAATTTCGCTTACTTGCAAAAATCATAATCCCCTTTTTGATTTATTGCACGTCGCGAGTGTAAAATATCGATAAAGTTTTCGGGCTGGGAATGAGCCACAGTGGGGACTCGTAAACGCGTAACACGGGATGTTTGCTTAACGTAGAATTCATTGAACTGTGAATGCAGATAAACGCGCGGCTCCGGTGAATAAAGTTTTATCATCACCGCAATAACGCCACAATGCATGAAGCATTATGCGTGAGTTATTACTGCACCTCTCATTCTTAATTGAATTTTTCATGTCAAACGCTGAATATGCAGCGCTCTCTATCCCATATCTGAATTATGTATATCGTATTAAGTGTTGTGTTAGTATAGTAATATTGGGTCTCACAATATACAAGCGCGTAGAATTTCTGAATGTTATAAAAGAGAGAGAGGAAGGAAGGGAAAGAGAGAAAAGGAGAGAGAAATTATTCTGCGGAAAAAAATGGTTCCATGAATGAAAAACGAAGAAATCGCTATTAATTTCGTTATGGAAAATTTTAATACGGTATCAAATACTCACATTCTCGACAGTCGGACTCGGCAGCATCCATTGCACCGTGGAAGTCGCAGCTGCTGCGCTCGCAGGACGTCTCTTGTTCACAAAATCTACGGGCAGACTGTAATCGTCGCACAGTGATACCTGCAAGCAAAAGCAAAAGAAACGATGTACATCGATTACCCGCTTATTATCATTTCCAATTAGCTGGGTCGCCCGATGGGAATCTTCTCTTGAATTTTCACCACTCCTCGCGTTCCCTTAATAGAATTTCGAAGTTACAAAAGAACGATTCTCATCAAATGACGCAAACTTTAGTAACCGAAAAACTCTGGCCGAATGTTTTAAATAATTCATCACAGTTACGCGACCAGTTTCGAAAACTGTGTGCTTTTATTGTTCCATTAATTACCGATGGATATTGCTCTTTTTGCTTGCGACAACCACTTATTACTGCAGCGTTATAATATTGAATTATTGTATCATTATAACAGTCGCGCTTCCGCTTTCCAACGGCAACTAAATTATCCTCGTTTAAATCCTCGGAACTAAGCAAGCCAGTTGTTACTCTCCCCCGGTAGTTACCCTCGGCGCCGTCGAGGCACGCACCACCTTCGCTCGGGGACAGAAGGTGGATTTGAAATACTGCTGAAAAAGAGTGAAGAACGGCCGGCGAACGAGGATACGCGGGGAAGCAATCGGCATCAAGCGGCGGAGGATTTCTGCCACTCGACAAATCGCAGGGTAAGCAGGCCGCGTCCCCGCGCGCCCTCAAATCCCCGCCGACGCTGACTGGACCAGCTCATCAGCGATATTTACCGTCTGTCGGAGAATCGATCTATCGATGCGTGGCCTCTCGTCCCGCCCCGATGTACACGCGAACGGTGAGTCCCGAACACGGCCTGCCGCCTACGTCTGTGCATGCATATAAATCGAGACAATCGCGGATCCCCAGGGGCGGCTTATCGCGCCGGAGGCTCGGGGGGTGGTTACAGAGTCCACGGGGGTGCGCGTCGCTCGCCCCCGCGCGTCAGACGCCCTGCGAAGGGAGTTTCGCTCCCGCGCGGGAACCGCACATGCAAATGGTCGGCGTTTATTGTGAGAAAAGAGCGCCGTATGAATATGTGAAGTGGGAAACGAAACGAAAAAAAGAAAGGCACGAGAGGAAAAAAAAGAACGGACGGAGATAGGAAAAAACGGCCGGGGAACAACGGAGGTAGGATGAGGATCGACCGGTTTTCGCGGAGAAGCGGAAATAGCCGCGGAGGGTATCGGTACGTTCTCGTGCCCATCGAGGAATGACACGGACGGCCGGTGGACTTAGCGGGCGGAGGTAACGCGGGGTAGAAAAATCGATTTTACAGCTTTACCAGTTCACATACCGAGACTGACTGGCAAATCCCTTTGTACATGGGGAAAAAATATATGATACACATAATCAGAAATATTTAGTCGTGAGCAGCATTCTGAAGTATGGGACATCTAGCTCCGGTTTCCTACATGGTTGATACGATTCGGTTACTTTGGTGCATCAACTACATCAATATAGTTGCGCGTGATCTAGTGGCAACCAGAAATCGATTGGGATGACATTCACCATGAATGGAAAAAAGACTTCTCTGCCGCAGCTAATGATGGGAGAATTCGTTTTCCAGTGGGAGAATGCTCTCGTTGGACAAAAAGGATGAGTTCACTCCAAAAATTACAGACAACCTATTAGTCCCCGACTGTATGTGTAAGATAGATCATTATTCGTTCGCCGCGTTTGAGACATGTAATTGAAGCTAAGCGGTGTAATTTTACGTACTTTAGCGGCTTCGGAGTGAACACTACCTCTAGACTAGAGTCGCGCATCGGTTGGCATCACGAGGAAGCCAAATGCAAACGAGAACGGCACAGTAAGGTGCACTAGAGGAAATCCGAGAAAACCGTCAATGTCTGCCGATGGCGGGGGTCGAAGATCACATTTCACATTGTCATAAACTGAATCTTAACTTGTCTGAACTTGACTGAATCTTGTCACTTGAATCTTAACTATGTTACGTCAAAATTGCGGGCTTACGTACCCGACTAGATATTTATCCTAATCAGGGTGATTCCAGTCAGTTATCTGGTTTGTATAAAGTGACGTTATCAAGTCCTGTTTGATTTTTGGAATTATAATAAAAATACTCTCTTTATAATAAAAATAACTATAATATTTAACTCTAAGGAACCCTATATAAATGATAAACTATAATAAAAATAAGTCACTTCGAATGATTCGAGATTTTTCATTCGTACAGAGTGAATGCTTAATAGTCGAGTGAATCTTTTCACTCGAAATTGAAAAGTGAATCTGTTCCTCCGTCGCTGAAGCATATTTATTCTAATCGACTGAAACATTCCCTTATAATAAAAATCCACTCTGAGCTGAGCGATACATTCACACTTGCGATCTTCAAGTGATAGAACAATCTTATTATTTCCTCAAATGAAAATACCAGCATTTTTTATTTGTTTTGAGTGAGATTCTACTTCAAAAAAATTTGGAATGTTCATCGTGTTGCGTCTCAACTCCCAAAATATCGGCGGACGGCGTGTAAAGAAGAGCATTTTTTAAACCCGATATAATTATATTTGTATTCCATGGGATCTATGAGTTATTCATGAATTTCGCGTTACAACGTGACTCATGGCTCGTATCTAGCCGATACGACTATAAATCACAACGCGCGTAAGCCTTAAAGTTTACCGAAATAGATTTTCCCGTGATCCCCGATGTCTCCCCAAAATGATTTGTTTTCCCGTAAATTCCCGACGCCGCGTGAATTTTTCCAGGCGCTTGTTATTGAGTGAGGTCGAAAAGTACACGTGGCTCTCCACGCTCCGACATTTATAAAGTGCCCATCGCGCTGTGTGCTCACTGCGCTGAAGAAAGAAACGTTCCGCGCGAGCCCTGCCGCGGAAAATCCGCGAGTCCGCGTTTTCCCGCGAACGCGGCGCTTTGCGCGGCCGAGATTAAGCCGGAATATTTAGCAAATGTTTCACATAAATCAAAGCGCCGCAATATGTTCGGAGTTCGAAGCGAAGCTATGTAAATTCATGGTAATACCGCTGGCCACCCTGCAGCGAGGAGTTTCGATTCGAGAAGAGGCGGGAGAGGGTAAAGAGCGCATTGGGGGATAAACGAGGAGAGGGAGTCGGGCACGATAGCGAGAGCAGAAAGGAGTAGGGAAAGTCCGAAAGGAGAAAGGGAGAGATTGAGATAGATAGATAGAGAGAGGAGGAAGGAAGGATCGAGAGAGTGAATGTGAGCGAGAGGAAGAAGCAGAGGACGAGGGCGACGAGCGCGTATTTCATGAACCCCTAAAGCAGCCCTGAGCATTGCGGCGACCGCCACAATCCCATTCATTCTCTTTATGGGCTCCCAAGTATTCGGGAGCGGGCTTGAATAAATCGGAAATTTGCCCCGCGGGGAGCAGCTCGGCCCTCCTCGCGATTTGCCTGCGACTTTCGGCCTGGTCATTCTCGCATCGAGCGCTCCGTTTTTCGCGCGCGCGACACGCACGATGTGCGAGACCGCGATCGTTAATCCCTGCCAAGCCAGCCGGCTGCAGGGAAGGTCACGCGCAAATTGTCGGAACGATAAAGCGCGCCCCGGCACGATGTGATTACGTTCTACAATAACAATAATAATTTATAAGCTTCCCTTAAGTGGCGTACTTCGCCGGGGTGATCTAATCAATAATCTCGTATAATAGGAGAATGCTTCCGCACAGTTACGACGGCATAGTTCGAGCCACGTTAATAGAAAGTGATATTAACGATTGCGAGAGCCGGACCGCGGGCTGGGAACGGAATGTTTATTCCACGGAACTTGGACATTCCCGACCTCGTCGTTCATGGCTCATAACCGCTCGTCGAAATCGCGTGCGACCGCGCGTTAATTCACTTCATTAAATATTTCGCATCCTCCGTACAGAGAATTTCGAGCTCGCGCTCTCTCATAAATCCGATTTTAAGAGTGATAACGCACAAAAGCGCACACAGGGGAACGATGTTTAATGCATATCTCCCTTAAAATGTGTACTATGAAATTTCGTTTGCACGTGGACGCCGCGACATTGAAGCACCAACACACCGACGCTCACGGCACAACCCACTCTCGATTATATCCAAAGCACGGTTAAATCGCGGCGCAGTGTAGCGACTGAATTGTACAAACAGATCGATCACGATGACATAATTAACCCTACCCGGCAAGGGTTATACGACTTGAATAGCTAAGGGTCCCGGCCAATGCCTCCATATAATCCCTAAATGCCTGTCGGCGAGTTGCGCGCCTCTAACGCTTCGAGAGAGCGAATTTGCATCCCGTTTGACAAATACCCGCGTGTCGAAATTCTAGTCCTGCTTTTAGTCTAGACTTTCTAACATTTATATATTCTAAAGAAGTAGCGTGTGTTTTATATACATGGAAACTGAAATCCTATAGCGCCTCTAAATGGCAAGAAACGCACCAAATGCCACTTGCAAGTTTCCAAGAAAACTTCTTGGCGAAGCTAGTAGGTTAAGTAAGGTTAAAAGAGGTTGACACAAGTTTCAAAGTATCAAAGTATCTACTATACACATTTAACATATATTAAAGATGTAGTAATATTGAGGTAGGATTTCGATTCGAAATTTTGACTCGAGTAGCCAGTTCGTTTTCTTCTAAAGGTTACGCGAAAGCATGCAAAAAGAAGCAAAGAGCTACGAGCTCTTGCAACTCTACGTGAGTTAAACGCTCGCCTTAATTACCTCGTTAACTCGAGCGTCGCCGTGACTGCATTCTTCAATGCATTGTCGTCGAGCGCTGAGAGACAGAGCAGAGCTCTCTCTCTCTCCGGCTGGACGTACCAAACCATAAAGCACGCCATAAAGGGGACTAAAGATCGATGAACAGAGTTAACTATGATTGACGACGAGCGAAAGTACGCGCCAGTCGCACGCAGTCTCTTCAGGGACTCGCTCGTCTCATTTTCCACGTTACGACGATCTGATTCGCTCTAACGCTACGAGATAAACACGTTAAAGTTTCACGAACTCCGCTCTCGCCGACGGAACACGGATAGCGAATTCACCTGGGGCTATTCAATGTCCTTTTCCGATAGCAACGTACG